TCTATTAGTAATATATTTTTGTATCTTTTCCAGTGCTTTAAAGCCATTCTTCTTAAGATTATTTACAATCCTCCTTATATTCCTCAGAGTGAAATCTGAATGTCAATACACTTTATTGTGACAATTACCTTACATCCCTAGACTCTTTCAAGATACAGGAATTCTTTAGGGATTACAAATACTAAATTTTGGGGAGGGGTTATCAGGGATTGAACTCAGGGGAACTCCACCACGGAGCCACATCCCAAGCCCTATTATGTATTTTATTTATAGGCTAGACATGGTCTCACTGAGTTGCTTAGCACCTTGCTTTTGCTGAGACTGGCTTTGAACTCAAGATCCTCCTGCCTCAGCCTCCCCAGCTGCTGGGATTATAGGTGTGAACCACCACACCCAGCATAAATACCAATATTAAGCCAAATTCTTAAAACAAAATTACCATCAGGTCAAGATTATTTAGTATTTTATTGTTCTGGTTCTGGGGTGTGGGATAAAATTAAAGAGTATAAATTCTTTTTATGGAATACTTTGGGACTTTTGCCACATTTTGTTGAATTCCATGGAAGCTTCCCATAATTTCAGAGAAAGACCCATGTAGCCCTTTACTCTGAAGTAAAAGTGTATTGTTGATTATTTTAAAAACTTCACAGGTCTCGAGAATATAGTTGGATAAGTTTAGACAAATACACACAGCTGAGTAACCAAAACCCTTAAAAATTAAGGCATAGTGCATTGTTGACAACCTAGAAAGTTCCTTCCTCTTCCTTTCCAGTTTATCCCCTTCCCACAGGCAACTACTATTATTTCTATCTCTGTACATTGGTTTTGCCTGCTCTTAAGCTTCACATAAATGGAATTATGCAGTATGGTCTCTTTTGTGGCTCATTTCCTTTGCTCGACTACAATTTGTTGAAAGTACCAGTAGTAATTTCTTTTTTAAATTGCTGAATAGTTTATGAATGAGTTCACCACAATGAAAGTATCCATTAAGAACAAAGAAACTACTGGGCTGGGCACAGTGGTGTACACCTGTAATTCCAGTGGCTCCAGAGGCTGTGGCAGGAGGATTCCAAGTTCAAAACCAGCCTCAGCAACTTAAGCTATAAACAACTTAGTGAGACCCTGTCTCAAAATAAAAAAATAAAATGGGCTGGGAATGTGGCTCAGTGATTGAGCATCCCTGGGTTCAATCCCTAGTATACACACACACACACACACACACACACACACACAATCTGCTGGTTGGGTACATGAGGATACTTTAATAAAATAAAATGTAGCAATTCTTGTTCATTCAGTTCTGCCACCCACACTTGACTTTTGCTAATGGTTATACATAGAGCTAAGTCTGAGTTTTAATCCTTCAATTCATCCTTAAAGGAGTGGAAAAAGAACATGGGGTAAACAGGAATCACTTGAATCTAAATCAAAGAAGAAAGCCAGGAAGCAAGAGATAGGTTGTACCAGGAGATTGATATTCAGCAAGAACCAAAATTACTCTGGGTTCTGGCTCCTGTCTAAGGCTGTGAAAACACTGAATTAATTTTAGGTCTAATTCCTCACTATTATCTTCCTCTGATCTCTCCTGGCTTTTTTGATTATTGGTTAAAAATCCTTTTTCTTTGTAAACCATCTAAAAGTTTTAGCTATTATAATAAACCTTGCTTGTTTGAGCTTGTTCTCAAAGATGGCTCTAGTCCCAATTAGTATGGCAGTGAAGACAAAGGCATATATAAAATGTATCTCAGGTCTCTTTCCTGGGACCATGTAAAACACACATCAAACAGGCAGGAAGGAAGTTTGGAAGGAATGATGCAATTTATAATAATTCTCCTTATCAAGAATGTACTGTGTTCACAGGGAAAGATTACTCTAATAGGACCTACAAAGGTTTATTTTGGTTACTTACCCCCTCAAAGGCCTTTTTAATAATCTATTTACAGAAAATGAAGACAAATCTAGTCTGGAAATTAAATGAGATAAAATATAGCTTGATCCAACTGGTTAGGTATCCACAGGAAACCCCACTACCCCAGATGAGAAGGACAGAATGAGCCACGTTAAAACAAAATGAATATCCGAACATTTTACAGTGATTTCCAAAACCTAGTACAAATACTCTGGGTAAATAACAGTTCCTAGTTAGAGATTAATTTTTGAGCCAGTGATTATTTACAAAGTCAAATCTTTAACAGTTGTGTACGTAGACTATTTTAAGTGTGTTACTCCATTACTGTTCCCTGTTTTTCAATTGAAAATGAAATTGCTAACACTGAGAATTACTTAAATTTCAAGCACTCACTTTGCAGGATTTCCTCAGTAGAACCTATTATTTGTCTGAAGTTATTCTTTCAGAATAGTAGCTTCCAAACAGAGCTACATTTGTAGTCATCTAGAAAAAGTGACAGATCTCAGCGATGTACGGAATATTCACATGAAGAGTCAAAAGCATACAAAAAGTGCTACCTAGGTTGGAAGTACAAGGATATTAACTGGCATATCCTCAGCTCAGGCAATGTCCATATATAGCTCAGTTGGCAGAGTGCTTGCCTTACATGCATAAGGCCCTGAGTTCAATCCCCAGCTCCAAATAATAATAATAATAATAATAATAATAATAATAATAATTAATAATATATGGGAGAAGAACAGAAAATCTTTATAATCAGGCTTTTCACAGTGGGGAAAAATAGGGATAATACCTATCACAACTGAGTGATGATATTACTAAATAGACTCTAATGAACACGAATACAAAATTTCCACTACTATACACTTCTGATTTGATAATAATATTAGATCAACTTTTACTAAAGAAGAGTAAAATGCAAGACCAAGAATTTGTCTTTTTTCATACTGAGGATTGAAACCAGGGTTGCTTTACCACTGAGCTATGTCCCTACTCTTTATTTTTATTTTGAGATAAGGTCTCATTAAGTTTCGGAGGGCTTCGCTAAGTTGCTGAGGCTAGCCTTAAACGTGTGATCCTTCTGCCTCAGCCCTCCCAGTTGCTGGGATTATAGGCATGCAGCACTGTGCCTGGCTTATATAAAATTTTGATTTGAATGTGTTGTAAAACTATAATCACATTTAATGCCGATGGGATTAAAGTGCTGTGTGATGTCATTTTGTCACTTTCCTAATATTTTGAGCCAATTGAAATTTTTATACAAATATGTCAAGTATTACCAAACATCTTTTACTCCTCTTGAACAATACTAGATATTTTTTAAATCAGAACATTGAATGTGTATATTTTAATATCAACATGGAGTCACTGAGATTTTTTTTTTTCCTCAATGTCACATCTCAGAAATATATGCAATTAGGGCTGGGTATGTGGCTCAAGCAGTAGCGCGCTCGCCTGGCATGCGTGCGGCCCGGGTTTGATCCTCAGCACCACATACAAACAAAGATGTTGTGTCTGCCGAAAACTGAAAAATAAATATTAAAATTCTCTCTTCGTCTCTCTCTCTCTCTCTCTCTCTTTAAAAAAAAAAAAAAGAAAGAAATATATGCAATTAAAATCAGATATTCATGTTGGGATACAACCAAGGATTCCTTTATATAGCCCTTTGCTTCCAGGTCACATCTGCCCAGGAAAATCACAATCCATCACTGTCCAACTCTCTCAGAATGAAATGCACTGCCTGGAGTTCACAGGAACAACCTCATCTAACTACTGGATGATGTGCTCACAGGTGGGCAAGTGAGCTGTCCTCCCCGTTGCCAGTGAACTCCCCATTCCCCAACAAGGCCAGCCGCCCCACTCCATCTTCCCCCATGCTGTGAGTCACCACTGTGTTTATGAAGATAAGCCCAGAGCATGAACATTTTATCATTCACTGAAACACAAAAGGGACATACTTTTCCATTATGCTGGACGCTGGAATGGAAGCTCTAGGAAGTGAGTATAACATGAAATCATTCCTTCCGCTTCAGCAGACAGATGGATAGAGACATTCCAGTTTGTTTCCAGCCTTTTGTCTTCAGAGCATTTTTGGCATTTCCTTCAGGAAACTGGAGGTTGTGACCTAAGGTTTCCTTAGTGGACACACTTCTGTTTCCCACAGTTAACCTTACTCAGAAATGACATCTACTCTATTAGGTGAGGTTTATCTTTGTGTCCCAACTGCGTCCTGTGCACATTCAATGACACTTGAAAGCACAAATTCTGAGAGTAACAATAGGGCTGAAGAGCCAAACACACCAAAATGCCTCTATTTAATCCCAATAAAGATGACAATAATACCAAAATGAGAATTACCAATTACAAGTCTGTGATGCTTGTAAAGTACCTTTGCTTTAATTTTATAGTTGAAGACATTAATAACTAAGGATGTTAACTCTTAAATACAACTGAGTAGAAAGTTTTCAAATAAAAGGTACTATGCTACTCAACCTAACCTTCTACAACTTGCTACTTCACCGATATAGTATATTCCCATATTGCTCAGAAGACAGGCTGAAGAACCCAAAAGTGTCCTAAAAAATTAAGTAGTAACTTAAGTACACTGTTGTATCCCATATCTATAATCCTGCTTCTCAGCTTATTGGTGAAGGGCCAGGAACATACAATTCTGTTAATTGGTTTGAAGTGATCATTGTGGGTCATAATTTAAATTAGATTGACAACTACACTGTTAATTATTATTATTTTTTTTTTAAAAAACATGTTTTAGGACAGAATTATTGTACTTAATTTGGTTTGGCTTTAATGTAATTTAAAGCTCAATTACATTTACTTACCAATGTGGTATTGAGAAGGTTGGTGGTTTTTCACATTCATTGGACTCTTCACTGTGAACTTACAAAGGTTATCTTCCTGAAAAAGATAGAGTGGTTTCTAAACAAACCACATTTTTCTTCACACCCTAGTTTATCAGAGTCAAGTCCTTTAAAGAATAACAGAAATTTGCCCTTAACTGTGATTCCAAAGAGGCGCATAGTCAAAGAGAATACCTCAGTAATGATTTTTAAAAATGCTCTTCACAAAGAGATCTTTAAAAAAGATCAGTTTATTAATGTTTAAAAGTTGATAAAGCTATGTGCAAAATAATCCACAAAGTCAGAAACCTATTAAATACTATATATTTTTTTAAAAAGACATTTCTTTGTTTAATTGCACTGAAAAACCATACTAATGAGACAGCAATAAATTTTTTATTCTTTGCAACATTTATACACATCTTCAATTACTATCAGATGAACAGCTATACTGAAAAACTTCTGGTGCTCCCTATCAGTTAAAGTAATGCTTTTAAGGGCACAAGAGGATGGTATTTTCTTAAGAAATACACATTCAATGGTGTTAACACAGGTTAGGGGAAAAAATCCAATGAAATGAGCTCCGCTGAAAACAAATACATTCAAAATTCATAAAAAGTACTTTTAACACAACAAAATACAACCATCCTGTTGGTTGGAATGAATCACACAACACTCTGAAACAAACATCAACAAAAGTGCCAAAGACAGATGCTGTATTTGTTAGACAAAGTCATTAAGGAACTCTCTTGGTTTACCAAAGTTAACTCCCAGTCAGTTTTCACCTTGTTTCTCTTGCGACTGTAAGGCTTGGGGCTAAGATAAAGTCGACTTCCTTATGCTGATTACAGCCACAATGGATATGACACTTTAGCACATTTCATTGTAAAGATGTTTAAGAAAAAAAAATAATCAAAGTGACTTCAATCAATTATTAAAAAAAAAAAAAAAAACGGATCCAGCTTACATGGAAACTTTGGCCTCAACAAATGAAATTGCTTTACATCTTCAAACCATTTCCATCTCCTCACAGCCTGTCTACTCAGCACTGCCTTCCTGCTACAGATGGTCAAGAAATGGACCAGGGCACAACCTCTACTCTGAGGACTGCCAGGTAGTTACAATATAAAGTAAAAAACATCTCCAGGAGGGGTGTGAACAGGGAGGGGAGGGTGGGCTATGCAGAGCCTCCCCCAGACAAGTAGAAGTGGACACACTCACTTGGGTTTGAAACTACAGTGGGAAAAAAAAAAAAAACATCTTCTGCTTACAACTCCAGACAAAGAGAAACTTTCACGTGGAGACTTCAGTCTTTGAGGAGGGGCCAAATGAACCCTTCAGGAGCTTGACAATGCTAGACCTTTGGCTCAGTGCAAAATCAAAGCTCCAGGGGACTAGGAAATAGGCTCCAGGCAGGGGACCTGACTCCACCCTTCCCAGTGCATTGTTCACAGGAACTAAATACCCACCAACACCCAGTGGCACCACCACCCGGGCTTTTCGATTCTCCCCCTCCCTCCCTCTTTCCAGCTCCTTCCCTCGCAGCAGCTCCTTCCTGGCAGCAGTTGAGGCCCAGAGCCCTTTTTCAAATACTGGGGTGGTGGTGGTGGGGTGACCCTGTAAGAGCACTTCCCGAGGATTGGCAGCATTCGGCTTTAGGAAGAAGAGTTGACGTTTCCAGAAGACACAATGGTCTCTGGGTTGTCGCCATCATCCTTCTGAGGGTGAGACGAGTTGTCCGATTTACTGCGGCTGAATTCCACACCAGCGATGATGGGTCGTTTGAATTTGCCGGTGGAGTCTCCACTGGGGCACTTGCAACAGGACATGATCCGGATAAAGGCCCGGCGCATCTCCTTGTTGGTCAGAGTGTAAATGATGGGGTTAGTGCCAGAGTTGAGCACTGCCAACACCAAGAAGTACTCCGCTTTGAAGAGGATGTTGCAGGTCTTCACCTTGCAGCCCACGTCCAGCAGAAGCAAGATGAAAAGGGGTGCCCAGCAGGCGATGAAGACGCTCAGGACAATAATTACAGTCTTCAGCAAGGCCAGCGACTTCTCAGAGCTGCGGCTGGCCTTGGAAATGTTTTTGCGGAAGGTCAGACGGCGGCTTCGAGTCCTGACCAAAGAGTAGATCCTGCAGTATAGAATGACGATGGAGAGCAAGAGGAGAGTGAAGACTGTGGTGCAGAAGAGGATATAGTGCTTGTGGTAGAGCGGGAGCACGGTGGAGCAGCTGGACAGCGTGCTGATGCAGTTCCAGCCCATGATGGGCAGGCCCCCCAGGATGAGCGAGATGACCCAACAAGCGCTGATCAGCAGGAAGGAGCGGGAGCTATTGCTCCCGTTGTGAAGTTTCATCTTCAGCATAGTGATATAGCGCTCAATAGCGATGGCTAGGAGGCTAAACACGGAGGCTGACAAGGCCACAAACATACTCCCTTCCCTCAGAAACCACTGGGCGGGGGTGAGCTTGTAGGTGGTGGCCCCAGACAGCAGCAGGTTGGCTGTGTAGGCGACTCCCGCCAACAGGTCTGAGAGGGCCAGGTTACCAATAAAATAGTACATGGGCCGATGGAACTTCTTGGTTTTCCAAATGGTCAGCAAGACAAAGATGTTCTCCAGAATGATGCAGCAGCAGATGAAAATGAACACCACCGAAGTCAGTTTAATGCCATTCTCGTCGGGGCTGATATTCAGCTTTCCTGTGTAGTTGTAATGCCGGACTATGATATCATAGTTGACATAGTCGGAGACCGAACTGCGGAGGGCCTTAACTACCGGGATGCTGGTGGACACCATGGTGCTGCGCCGTGTCCCCAGGAACCGGGAGGTGGCACTTCTCCAGACGAACGCTAGAGGGCGAGGGCGAGCGGGGCTTCACTCGCTGCTGCTGGGGTGAAGATCTGTAAGAGATCCAGGCTTTTTGTGTAGCTTTTCCTTGACCGGAGAGGGCCTCCGAAACTGCAGCCTTAAATAAGTCACAAAGAGAAGAGCGTCAGGGTAAAAGCCATACCACACTAGCAGAATTCATTCTCGCTAAGGCATTGCTCCAGTTCTGTTATATTGCTGTTTTAAGAAAACCTGAGGAGAGTGCATGGAGAAATAAATATCTATATAGCATATATATATATATATATATATATATATATATATATATATATATATAAAATTATCATTTCTAGGGGAGACGAGGAAGAAGAAGAGTAAGAAAAACCAAAAAATTACCCACGCTGAAAACTTCAACTGGATGAATGGGAAAGTCTCCCTATGTTCACATACACTCAAACTGAGATAAGAAATCTGGAGAAGGGTGCCCAGTAACTCCATTCCCGCCCCGCTAGCTCTCTCCCCCTCTAGCCCTTCAACCCCTGATACCCCAGGATTCTCTGAAATAGTCATCAGCTCATCTGCGTGCTCACACCAACAGCCCATAATCTCTACCCAAAGAGACTCAACTGGCAAAGCTAAGGGCAGAAACCCACACCTGGGTCCCTCACTCCACCCCACCCCACCCCACCCCACCCCCAACTCGAAGAGATGAGCACCACCTCCTAATTGCCATGCAAGAAAGTAGATTTGCACGAAAATTATTTGACAGCGTAAGTCATTTTCTGGGCTCTATTAATAACCCTCTAGAAGCAGGTGTGCTGAGGGTCCGAGGGCGTAGTGAGGTGTGGGCCGCTAGGCGCGCCCCAGCCCTGCGGTAAACAGGAAAGCTCAGCGCCTCCGTGAAGCAACTGCCTATTGTTTCTTCTCCCCCTCCCCCCAACCCCCGGCAAGCCTGGTGCAAGTAAATGTAAAGGTATTCAGGAAAAAACCATTCATAAGAGATTGCAGTAAATCCCAGAAGTTTCATACGTTGATTGCATAAGCATTTTTAGTTTAGTCAACACAGGCACACACACACAAACGAGAAGTTATACCACTAATGACAATACATGCTGCCACATTTCTAATTTCAGGGGGCAAAGCTACTCAGAAACAGGCATATGATGTGCATTGCAAAACTGGCATGGCCAGTTGTAGTTAGTGCCATCCCCACAAAGCGCTGCCTCCTCTCATAGAACTAGAAAGTGTGAAGGAATGGCACAAAGCATTAGTCTGCACAGGTCTACTTTTAAGTTGTTTAAATGTTTCAAAGTAATGCAGCATTCTGATTTTTTTTTTTTTTTTTAAGTGCAGTAATAGAGGCAGGAGCAACTTTTCGGTCAGCACAGGCTGCCCGCGTTTGCCTCATCCTAACTCTATACCTTGCTGGGAAGCAGTGCAAGTTTAAACTATTACCCCTGTTCCCCCAAATTCTTCGTCTATAAGATTTCTAAAAATAATCGTCTTCTCTCCTTCTGAAGAAACGCAACTTCCATCCCCCTCCCCCACCAGTCAGTTCTACATTTAGGGAATAATCCTTTTCCAAACTCCGTAAATCACCGGTGCTCCAAGAACAATTCGATCTAGTTGGGCTCCACAGCAGCCCAAGAGACAAGTACTTTCAGAGCCCAGAGATGGATGTTTTCAAAGTTTTTGTTCGTTTCGTTCAAGCTTAAAAAAATCGTTTCTGCCACCTAGGCCCTCCGGCAGCGGTACGTCTCCGCGCTCCCAGCCACCGCTGGCCAGAGCCCGAACGGCTCGTGGCTCCCTACCTCGCTCAGGCAGGACGAAGTTGCGTTAAGAAAGCTCCGGGTCTGCACCGCGCACTCCGCATCTTGCTGCTGCCCCCGACTGACTGCGCTGTGCTTTCGCAAAGTTACTGGAGTGGGACCCTCCCTCCGCAGCCGCGCACTCCAATGGCCAGCCCCGCTCGCTGCTGCCCGCGCCAGTCTGCAAGGCAAAGTCGCCGAGCGCCACGCCGAGGCAGGGTGGCTTCCTTTAGGAGGAGATTGGGAGGGGTTAATGCCTTAACTCTTCACGCCCTCTCAGGGCTGGGGGCCCCGGATCTGGGCTTCTGGGACACACCGTCCAGGAAAGATCTCGGGGGAAAGCAAATAATGAAATAATAAAGAACCCTTCCCTCTGCTTTCCCAAGCAGCGAATCCACCCCCCACCCCCCAACACACACACACACACACGGTGGGGGCGGGGGAAAGAAGGGGCGGAGCCTAGTATCCCCTAAATTCTAAAGTAGAAGTCCTGTCCCTCGGCAGCAATCCTCCACTCCCAGACCATGCAGAGTGCTCATTCAAGCCCACGGAAAAGAGGAGGTGGGAACATTTTGGAAACTTTTCTCCCCACAAGACAGTGGGGCAGAAGACGACCCGGCGTTTCATAGTGCACCTCCCTGGTCCCTAGCCTTGCAGCTCTTGGCGGATCCAAGTGTCCCTAGTTGTCGCCGGTAGCCCCTGAGGCCACTTCCGCGCGGGCAGGGGAAACCGAAGCCGTTGCCCAGCGAGTCTCAGTCGCGCTCTGGGGAGCAGAGGCTGGGAAGGAACTTTGAGAGGTATGGAGGGGGCTAGAAGCCGAAAAGGGAGAGTGGACCCGAATGATCCGGTACTCTCCCTTACCCCTCCAGCCCTGATCCCGGTAAGGCCTAGAAACTTTCTGTCTTGAGGGGCAGAAAGTGGCTTCCCCCCACCCCCTGTCCCCGTGCATAGTGAAATGGGCCAGCATCGGGGTTGGTGTTGGGCGGGGGTTCCCCTCGTTCAACTGGGCACAAAGTCAGGCGGTTTGTCCCAGATTCAGGCCAACAGTGAGGCCTTTGAGGAGGTGGGCTGCTGGCCGGTCTTGAAAGATTTAGAAAATTGGGGAGGCTCTGAAATTCCCAAAGGGGAAGAGCCTCCAGGTCCAGCACAACTGAAGCATCCACAGTTGCCCAGCTAACCGCAGGTGCCCTTCTCTCTCTTTGCATTTGGGAGACAACCCAAAAAGCCCTGACTCTCAATGATTGCACCTCTCCCCCCAACCCCCCCCCCCTTTTTTTTCCTTAGACAATACTTAAGAACGTGCATCTGAGAGTTTGCATTTCATCACATTTGCCTGACTGGCAAGCTCAGGGCACTTCTGCCCTGGCTTACTGCTATTGCTTTTTGTTTATTGCAGTACTGGGGGTTGAGCCCAGGGGCGTTTCTACCATTGAGCTATAACTCAGCCATTTGTATTTTATTTTGAGATAGATTTTCACTGTGTTGTTCAGGCTGGTCTCGAACTTGGTGATCCTCCTGCCTCGGCATCCCTAGAAGCTAGGATTACAGGCTGTGCTACCAGGACTCTCTGCCCTGCCCTAAAAGAAAAGAGGTTTTTACCCAGTCCCTGCTCATAATTCTTTCCCATCCTAGCAGATGTGAACTCAAAACTTCCTCCACAGTGCAGTTTCAATTGACAGACACACCCTGTACCTGAATGACTCAGAGGAGGCTTAATGAATAAACAACAGACCCCTGGCTTCTGGGATTTTATGAGTCTGGTTTTTTTTGGTTGTTGTTGTTGTTTTGTTTTTTTAAAGTGACAGTTAAATCACAATCACCTTAAAATCCACATCAGCAACAACACCCAACCCATAGCCACAAATCCAGCAGTATGAACACAAAGCATGGAAATTAAGATAATAGAACTCCAGACTCCAGAATAGACTGAATGGGTTTAAAGACTTATTCCATTTGAAAGGGAAGAGATGTTGTGTCTGTCCAGCCAATAAAAGTAAAGAATTAGAGATCTCTCCCACACTCTGGCTAACTGAGTTCTTTAAAGGGAAAAGAATTATAGTGAGTTGTGCACCTGGACAGTAGCAATCATGTGCTATTCTGACACTACTGCTCTGTGAAGCAAGCATGGCTGGCTATTTTATCCATAAAGGAAATGCCATTCAGCTTAAGATAATTGTAGATTTCTCAATTAGGGAGTATTAGAACTGGGTTCCAAAACTTACCTACCACAGATCTCTGGTCTCCTAGCACAATATCACAGTCAATAAGCAATTAAGGAATTGAAATATGTATGTTACTAAAGAGAAGTAGTTCTCTTTATTCAAAGTCTTAAACTTGCATTCATTTCTGATTATGAAAATTATATAAAAGAATACTACAATATGTCCTCTTAAAACCAGTTAGTTTTACTTTGTATGTATACAAAATGTAGGGCTGTGGGTGTAGCTCAGGGGTAGACTGCTTGCCTAGTACACTCAAGATCCATATTCCATCCCCAGCACTTGATTGACTTTAAACCTTTCATTGTTAGCCTTCAATATATAATGAAAAGTTGTACTTTTAGTATTTGTGTACTAGTGCTATACATGTTAAGTCATTTGGTCCTTACAGTTTAATTCCTACAAGTTAGGTAGTATTATTATCCTAATTTTACAAACATGGAAACTGAGTCCCAGACTCAGTTTTAAGCATGTTGGTTAATGTGGGATATAACTGTAGACAGGCTGCAGACTCTTAACCACTACTCCAAACCACCAAGATAAACCTCAAACGTGAAAGAATTACATGGGGGAAATCAGTCCCTTTTGTTGTGAATACCATTGGTGAGGTCAACATTCAAAACTGGTCCAACGTTTTAAAGAGCTAATGATTTTTTGTAATCTTTTGCTAATGATTATTTAGTAATATTCATCCTTAGTACATATCTAGGAGATATAAAATGTAGATGGCCACTTAGGCAAAATTAGGTAGTAGGTAACACTATTTCCAGGGATGGTGTCTCTGTCAATTCTAGGTTTCTATACACCTCTCCCCAGTTAGGGAATAGTAGAACTGGGTTCCAAAACTACCTCTGTTCTGGATTGCCAGCAATCAAAACTGCATAGAGAAAGATGCTTAAGCCTTGGAACCAGACAGACTGGGGTCTTGGGTCTGAATGTTGTCAGTTCCAAGCCCCGTGACTTCAGGCAATTTCCTCTATTTTCCCTGAGCCTGTATTCTCAACTCTAAAAAAGCAGTAGTATTTGTCTCTTTAAGTCACACTGTGAGGATTAAGGCTTCGCATATGTGAAAAAGTTCCCTATGGTACAGAGAAAATGCTGCGCCTTCCCACCACCTCTACCTCTGACTCTGTTGTAGTCGTTACTTTCATCATCTTGCTTTTCCAATTTCAGTTCACTTTCCTTTTTGATTTCTAAATAAAATTATTATTAGTTGAATTAATATATGCACATCATTCAAAAAAAGATCAAATAGCACCAAACTTGCCAGGAAAAGTATCAGTCCTCAGAGGTTTTCTTGATCCTCCAACCTTCCTAATCATTACACAGTTTTCTTGCTGCTTCTTTGGGTGGCTACTTGCAAATATCTAAATCCCAAGTTTTATGTGTCTATAACTTCATCATTAATTTTAGGCCACATCTACACATTTTCTGCCATTCTGGAAGAGCATTCACATACTCTTTGCCCTTTTTCTTTTTTCTTTTTCTGGTAGTAGAGATTGGATATAGAGATACTTTACCACAGAGCTGCATCCCCAGCCCTTTTATATATATATATATATATATATATATATATATATATATATATATAATTTTTTTTTTTTTTTTTTTTTTTTTTGAAACAGGGTCTTGCTAAATTGCCAAAACTGGACTTGAATTTGTGACGCTCCTCCCGCAACCTCCTGAGTCACTGGGATGAGAGGCATGAGCCACTGCCCTCAGCAATTCACTTACTCTTAAGAAACATGCTTACACATCTGATATGTTAATAATTCTATCTTTATAATCAACTGCTCTTTTTGCTATGGGTATTATAGGTTGTAAGTAACTTTCTCTGAGAATTTTGGAGGCATTACTTCTCTCTCTCTTTTCATTTCTAGAGCTACTGATAAAAAATCTAACAGTATTCTGGTTCCAGAATCTCACATGTGTACTTTTATGGACCTTAGTGTTTTAGAATCTTGTTTTAGAATGACGGGATGCTATGTCTTGGATTCCCAAGTGCTTTGCATTTCTGGTAATCATCTGAAATTATCTCTCGATAACTTCATCTTCTCTGTCTGTCCTCTCTTTCCAGAACTCCCACTACTTAGATTGTAGACTACCTAAGCTGACTTACGTTTGCTCATATTTTAATCACCATTTTTCTTTATTTTTTGTTCTTGCTTCTAAGAGATTTCTCAACTCTCTCTGCTGGAATGGGAGTATTGGCACGTATCCTATTACACAGGATGGAAATGGGAGGCTGGAGGTTTGAAGGTTTATTTTAATTAAAATAATTTTATTTAAAAATCAATAGGGGGTCCACCATTTGATCCAGCTATCCCACTCTTCAGTCTATACCCAACTGACTTAAATCAGCATACTACAGTGAGGCAGGCACATCAATGTTTATAGCAGCTCAATTCACAATAGCTAAACTGTGGAACCAACTTAGATGTCCTTCAACAGATGAATGGATAAAGAAAATATAGTACATATACACAATGGAATATTACTCAGCCTTGAAGAAGAATGAAATTATGGCATTTGCAGGTAAATGGATGAAACTAGAGAATATCATGCTAAGTGAAATAAGCCTCTGATAAGTGAATGCTGATCCATAGTGGGACGGGGTGGGGGATAAGGAAGAATGAAGGAACTTTGTTTATGTAGAGGGGAGTGAGAGGAGGAATGGGGCTGTGGGGATGGAAGGGATTGTAGAAAAGACAGACATTATTACCCTATATCCATGTATGATTACCCGACTCGAGTGACTCTGCACCACATACAGTCAGAGGAATGAGAAGTTGTGCTCCATTTGTGTACAATATGTCAAAATGCATTCTACTGTAAGATAAATAAATTTTGAAAATCAATAGGAAAATGGGTGAGAAGTGAGATAATGAAAGCAGTAAATACAGTGAAATTATAAAGACATGGTAGGGGGTGTAGGAAACGTTTTCTCACTACGACAATGGGTACTTTACAGTCAGGCTTTCTATTTTTAGGTCAGTTTTTGACACCTTTTTCAGAAATACCAGAAGCTTCTAACTCTTGATCTTATTTGAGAATACATAATGGGAATTTAGTTTGCTTCTAGGATCCACTTCCTGCTAGTTGATATTTCAGTTTTCTATGGTTGGACCAGCCAGT